TAGGCGTCCTAAAAATCCTTACTTCCCTGAAAGATGGTTACTAGGGTGAGAATGTAAGATGCCTCGAGGTCGTTTTATACCAGAAAATCCCATGAAACACGTGGAATTCATACGCCCGAGGGGCAGGCGTTTGAGATTCCCACCAAGCCAAAACTAACTAAAAGCTTTTAAGAAGAACTAATAAAAAGAATTGGGCTGGTATCCATTGTTTGCTGCATGGGCTGAGAGATGATACTGTTTTTGGAGGGTAATGATACTCAATAGCTCCAGTTTACATTTAGTTTTTCATGTAGTATAACTAATTTCATCCTCCACTTTGAAATCATTTGCAGTCCACAGTTATTATTTGGCAGGTACCAATCTGATGAACAGGCATGGTCGGACACAATTAAATCCGTGAGCAGTGGAGAAACTGTTAGGATTAGTACCATGGACTGGCTGGGTCAGTCTGAATTTACCACACCAACAATTTTCTGGTCGTCCTTGTCTTCTGCAATATCAGAGGTAAGTTTTAGCTCGACTTTACTTGCCTGCTTATCTGGTTAATGTTATGATGTACTGCCATTTTTCGTGCGGTTGTTGATATTTACAAAACATTTAACGCAAAAGTAAGCAATGGTTAAGCATTCTTGAGACTATTAATGTCAAGTATTGAAATGATGTGAAACCGTATTGATAAGGAATCCACCGAAGGAAAGGTCTAATACCAAATGATCAGTTATCACTATAAGGGAAGTAAGATTCGGATTAGCTTGTTGATCAAATATCTCAAGGTAAGAAACTTGTTTGAAATTTGAATCACTCTAGAAGCAAGATCAATCATGACAAGCTTGAATAATTCTAAAGATGCAATCTAGACTCATAGAATTGCAAAGAAACTTAACCTTTGGCTAAAGGAAAAAGTAAGAACACTTAGCCCTAGTGATAAGGAATCGCTTCCGGGGAAAGTAAAATTTGGATTACCTTGTTGATCAAATATCTCAAGAGAATAACACTTGACTGAGATTCAAATCACTACACAAGAAAGATCGATCATGTCAGCTTGAATGATTCTTTTTACTATGTTTTCCAAGTCCCTCTACAAAGACAACATACATGACTTTATATAGCCTCAAAATTAAAACCCTCAACCTTTCTTGAGTCATTCCAAGAGTTGTAACTTTTATATTTTATGATCATAATTAGCCACGGTATACTTTACGATCATAATTAGCCACTATGTAAATAAGCCTTAAAATACATTAAAGAAAGAAACATGTAACTCTAAATTATCATCCACAAAAAATTTGTAACCATCTAAGAATAAATGAAGCTTGATTCTTCTTTAACGTGGCATGAATTGCAACATATTGTGATAATTTGCACAATATCATCTTCACATCTTCCTTGAAGTTTATATTGCATGATTGATATCTTGGTTCATATGACGTATGATATCCTCTACACTCTAACCACAACCCTTTCAATTCCGAGTTTATTTTGTACAGCCTGGTAGAAAAGGGTGTGCATTCTAGATTTTGAATCTTGACAAAAACCATTTATTCTTATAGGTCATCTTCTCGAAAAATGCAACCGTGAAGTTATTGGTATCGTACTGGACACATTTTGTCGAGAACACCGATCCATATCTCAAGTCTCTTCTCTACTCGAACATCCTCTGCAACTCTTCAAAATTCAATCATTGTTTTGGAAAAGTTGAGATCAAGTACTATGTCGTTCCCGGTTACAACCGAACAGGACCAGCACTTTATCCGAACGGAACTAGAACAAACAATACATATCCCAGTTTTACAAGAGTTCAACATGGAAAGTTTGCAGTTAGTAACGTTAGAGCCCACATAGGAACAAGCAATCTTGCGTGGGATTACTTTTATGCGACCTCTGGTGTTAGCTTTGGAACATACAACCCAGCTATTGTTAAGCAGCTTCAAGAAGTGTTTGACGCTGACTGGAATTCTCCTTATACTGTCCCTGTTGAAGCCCTACAGGACGGCCCTACATTTTCCAGCTGATTTGCCCTTGAGTGAAAGGTTTGATGAAACTGTAAGGAACGAGCTCTTCACTTGATTGTTAGTGTTACAAATCCAGTTTAGATTTGGTGTTGAAGGACGACATTGTTAGTCTGTGTTATTTAGGTTACTTGTGCTCGAATAGAGTTTGAAAACATCTTTGATTTGTCTCAACTCTGAGTTATTTGAAAGTTTTAAAAGTTAGGGTCGGTTTGAAATGACTTTCTAAATGCTTAAAAATACTTTTTAAAATCTTCATCCTAATGAATCCTTGGACTTCGAAAAATAAATTGTCCACTAATGTTAAGATAGTACAGTTGGTTGAGGTATATACCAGAGGCTTAGATCTCTCTCACATGTTATTGAACTAAAAAATGGAAAGTAACCGACCTCTCTCACTCGTCAAACTAAAAAATGGAAAGGAATAAAAGGCCGTAATTACGATTTATGCAAACATTTTATTATCTCGAGAGAAAATTTGAACTTCTTTCTTCTATTTTTGTGTATTTATTATAAAAAGTAAGATTAAATTTTATGTTTTATGCTCAAGTGAGGATCGTTTAGAGATAATTAATATATATTCTTTATCTTGAGTTTAGATGTTTAAATCTCTCCATTTTTTATGGTATAAATAAATTATGTTATAGATTTGTTTAAAAAATAATAAGTATGCTATATAATAACAAAAAAATAATAATAATCAGAAAAATGTCTAAAATGGTATCAAATCTACGTGGGCCGTATGCTGGACCGGGTTCCCAAATTTTTGGGCCATTGCATGGTTGGGATTGGGCCTCACCACAAAGGAGTCTTCGGCCCATTTCTCTGGAATCAGCGCCAAATGAAATGGGTTATTTTCCCTCCAACTAAACACCAGATGGTCTCAAAATCTCTGAATCAAGAACGAGCGCTTGGCAGCAACAGGGAGCAAGATTTCTCGAGTCGCTCGAATATTGTATGCGCTTCGGAACTTCGCTTGAAACTTGAAGGTCTGTTCTTAGCTTCGAATGACCAGAGACGAGAACAAAGATTGTGGAATGTAGAACAATTCACACCGATTTCCAGACAGATAGGGAGAGATGCAGAGATTGAAAGCAGTGGAAAGCTGTGAGGAGATCTTCATTTCAGCGTTTTAGCTCTTTTTCTAACCTGAAGAGAGGCTTTTCTTCTCTACCAAACTATGCTCAAACTGATGATGTTTTCGACCAGGTTTGTATTCGGAGTTCTTTTTTAGTTTATTAACGAGCAATCAAACGCGGAAATGCGCCTCTTTCTATCTGCTTTTTCTCTCCTAAACTCGATTCATTTTCGGTGGAGCCTACTGTGCAGGTACCGGTTTTTGTTTCTGAAGAGGTGTTTATGTGATCGTTAGATTCTAGTGAAAGGAGGACCGAAGTCTAGAGAAGCTATCCTCAATAGACCATCGGCTCTCAATGCTCACTACTTCCATGGTTCTTTTCCTATTTTTTTATTCTTTGTTTCCTTTCTGCGTTGTGAGATTAGTTTGCTGTCTTGTTTGGTTGTTTGGTTGATAATTGCGTCCTCATTGAAAAATGTTCAACTACGAGTTGTATTTGTCGTAGGTAGCCCGGCTGAACTATCTGTATGAATCGTGGAGGAAAATTCTGATATCGGATTTGTCTTAATGAAGATGTGGACTGATTTATGCGTACATTCACGGCTGTTCAACGTCGAGCACTTTCTCCGTTATATTTCCAGTGTCAAAAACCTCTTAATTGAAAGTTTAGCTCGTGTTTTTATCATTAGGACTTGTTCTACCGACGTATCTGAGCAGCGTCATTTTATTTTTTGAAGGCTAGTGGCAGGGCGTTTTGCTCCGGTGCAGATGTTATCGCGCCGTATCATTTCTCAAATGAAGGTGAGAGGTCTTTTGATGTTTCGAATGGAACTTAACAAACTAGTCATTCGCATTGGTTAAGGCGTTCATACGATCATGCAATTTTATACTATTCTGTTTAGCTACGGAGCATTGAGAATCCGCGAAGGCATCAATAGGCTTTGACATTACTTGTTTAATGTTAATTTTGTTCTCGTTATGATTGGTAAATTTTATCAGTTTCTCAGGGAAGCTTATATGATTGTCATTTCAGCAAACTTTTCAATATGAAACAAATGCATTGAAAAGGATAGAAGATGTAAATGGAGACGAGAGATGACTGGAAGTCAAGACCTATAGCATATTAGGGAAATCATGAAAGCATTCTTCAACTGGCCAAAAGTAAGAAAGGCGGCCACTAGCCAAAATGAAGTAAGAAGATTTCACTCATTCCCACACACCTTCTCTGCTTCATCCGTTTATCTCAAAATTTGATCTAATTCATATTTCAAGAAATAGAATGAAGAGGAAAACCTCCACATTGTCTATATTGAGACTAGAGAGGAAAATCCTGGAGGGATAGAGGGAAGGAGAAATTGAACTCAATGGATCTCCCTTTTTATCGTAGGAAACCTCACAATTAGTCTTTAATTCTCTCCCTTCACAGATCAACATTACATGTCACACACTTTTGAGTGCTAAGGATTGTTCAAGTAATTTAAAGGAAATATGTGACGACGTTTAATACTTTAGATCCGGAAGCCATTGTCACCACTCTTTATTTGGATAAAGAAGAGAAATCATGGCTTAATGTTCCCGACCGGTTTGGTTGGATGAAATAGAGAACTTCAATTGAAAGTTCTTTAAACTTAGTGAATTAGACAGTTCACACTATGGAAATCTTTCCCTCGGTTGGTCCTTCTTTAAGACAATAATCCACGTCCATTGATTTGTATAGTTTTCACACTAATGGCTAACAGGTTTTTTTTTTATCATCTTACATTCATTATCTCATGCAAATAAGTTAGAGCCTCAACTCACTCCTTTTTCCTTTTGGGCACAGGGAATATCAAAGACTGCAAGAAGTTCTTTGAGACATTATACAGATTTGTGCATCTTGAATGAACTTACCTGAAGCCACATGTAAATAACAACTCTTCATGTTGTCTGTTGAGATGTTCCGTATTGAGATTGACTAAAGGGAGCTCATCAGTGCTTTATATTTTTTCTCCAGGCCTAATGATTCTGTTGAGGTAAAGAGAGTTAGTAAGTGCATTTGCTGATCTTTAGTATCCTGTGTATAAAACTTTGTAGCCTGTAATTATTATTTTTATCAGGTGGCCCTGTTGGACGGTATCATGATGAGAGGTGGGGCTGGGATTACCCTTCCAGGCATGATCAAAGTGGTGACTGATGGAACTGCAAGTAAGTACAGGTGCAATTTTTGCAATCACCTTTTTGTGATGTTTTTCTGTCCGGATATTTAAATGATTCGTATATGGCATTGCTCATTACACACGATCATAACATGATGTTTGAACAAATGAATTTAAATATTTGAAAAGAGAGAAGTTTAATAGAACTAGATGATTGTCAACAAATGTTTGATAGCTAAACCAGAAATGAACTTTTCATTGATTGATGAAAAGATACAAAAATTGTCCGAGTAAACAATCCTCTATTTAATACTAAAAGTTACATGTCCTATGTACGACCTGATCGAACACAGTACATTAATAATTGATTTAAGTTGTGGGCGTGGCAACAAGTTTGGATTCCATTTTAAGTTGGGTGCCTCAAATTAGTTCATTTGGAAGATAAAACTTATAGAATTAACTTCAAAGTATTTTCCTTTGGTGTGCACTATGCGAATTCATTTTTCACGAACTGAATAAAACCTAGAGATATCAAATCCCATAATTAGTGCACGGATGAAAATTTCTCATGGATAGCTTCCCTTGAAGCATTAAAAAGTCAAAAATTATGAAGGAAATTGAACGTCATCAATGTGGTAAAGCTGTGTGGTTAAGTGGAAGTTCTTGTTCTTCTGTTAGACACTATTCGCTCAATGCCGTTAGATTTCTGTTCCTTCATTCTTTTGTATTTCTCATTCTCATTCATTCATGGCTTGTAATGATCAATCTATGACTTTGGCAGAGACTTGGTGGAATTGAAGAACGCCTTGGTAAAATGATAACCGATGGCCCTTCTGTCATAGAATCATCTCTTGCTGCATTTGGTGATCTCGTCTATCCTCCGAAAGTGACCTCGTTTCGCCAGTTTAGGCTCCTGATAACAGGAGCGTTCTTTCCAAGTACTGTTCTTTCTTCTGCACCTTCCTCTTTGTTTAGATTAAGTCCTATAGCCTCTACGTATGTTAAACTTAATACAAAGAAATTGCTGGAAGTTGATTTTACTTTTGAGAATTTGTACTTCCTGGGGCAGTATTAACAACGCTATGCTACGAGAACAGTCGGCTGAGTTAAATAGTGAGCTTCGTCATAAATCATCAACTAGCACACTAGATTTTAACAACCGTAGGATAGAATTCATCTCACACACAAATGATTGTGGTTTATTACAATTTAAGTGTTCTTTCTTTTCTTCTAGATCTTTATCACTTTCCAAGCCTTTCTTGTTCCACAGGCTCGATGCAACAGCTAGGTGTTTTAGCCACGACACTGTTGAGGAAATTTTGGAAGCCTTGGTAAGCATTGTATCATGTTTCTTTCTAAACCTTTATGATGCTGTTGGACACTTCAACTAGTAGAATTCATAGACGAACCAACCGAGTGTATAGCGTTGAAATATCATCACTAGCCCAATAGAGTCAAGCCCAATAATTGTACGAGCCCATTGTATATTGATTTTAGTAGAGATTTTAGGAAAGAGATCTAGATATTTTAGGAGAGAGATCTAGATATTTTAGGAGAGAGATCTAACTATTTTAGGAAAAAGATTCAGATTTGTTAAGTCTAGATTTAACTCTAGTATAAATACCCTTCCACCCTACCTAGGTTAATCATCCAAGAAATACAAAAACAATAAAAAAAAGAAGTAGTATTTTATAGAGTGTCTTGTATTCTTTTTTCGATTGGTCTTAATAAAGAGTGAGTGTTTGTTGTGTTCAATATATAGCTTGCTGACCTCTACTAAGAATCAAAACTTCACGGAAGTATTTTTTGTTTTAATCCACACGTTTAGGAAAGAGAGGCTGCAGAGTCTTATGATGAATGGTATTCTTCAACCCTGAAGTTACTTTAGAGAAGCCTCGCCATTGAGCTGAAAGTTACTCTAAAATCTGTGAGTTTTCTTGTTTATGTACACATCTGTTATTCTCTTGGAATACATTTAACTCTCTAATCCTTATTTTATCCCATCGTATTTGTAGATCTGTGAGTTTTCGAAGTCTCGGCCAATGTCTTGCTCGTGAATACAGTAAATCCCTCATCTCCGGATTTCTATGAGGTTATTAGCTTACTAAATTCATTTGGACAGTTCAAATTTGTCATCTGACGCCTTATTTCTATGCATGAATAGGGTGTTCGATGTCGATAAACCTTTACTTTATTAAATTGTTTGTAATTTCTAAAATTTCAAGTTTATTTCTGTCTTACAACTCTTTCAAACTGTCTATTTTTATTTCTTGAGCTCTAAAAGAATTTAAAACAAAAATGTTTTTTTTTTTATCAAATTAGAGGATTTTGAAACTTGATGTATTTAAGAAATGTGTGAGGTAAAATAATTAATATGGTGGACTGCCACTTTTCACGGGCAGGTGAATTACCTGAACTAGAGCTGCCCACTGCGTTACGGGAACCAAATTCACGGTAAAGAAGCAAAAATATACCCGACGTCTATTTGGTGGGGCCACAATTATTGTTTCAGCCATTCATTCCTGCAGTCCAGAGGATGAATTTCATCTCTGCAATGACCATTTTGGTATGACTTTTTTTTCTCTCTCATATAATATATTATTGTTTTTAACGAGCCAATCTATTTTTACGGATAGATAGTTTGTAGAGGTGTACATTCAACTGGATATTCTGAATCAACACAACTTGATGGGTTAGATTGGGTTCATTTTTTTGAACCCAAAAGGATTCGGTTTGGTTTTGAGTTCCTTAGATAAAAACTCCAAATTGACCCAAACCAAACAAAAATTTATAAAATATATTAAGAAATTTTAGCATATTCACGAGTCTCTCACCTACAAATATTCATGCCCTGGTTTGACTTCAACTAAGAACATTATTTCTTTTTGTTATTTTGTTTATATTATTTTATTACTTTATTATTTTTAGTTTTATCATATTTTATTGTTTTCTTGTTTTTATTATTTTATTATTTGAAAAAAATATTTTAATATTTCATTTATAGTAGTTCCATGTGATTTATGAATAATTTTAAAGTATATTATTTTTCGTTTTACGATTTTTAAATAAATTTTTTAATTGAGAATTTCTATATTTGTTGATTGGATAACCACTTAAATTTTTTTAGAATTTTTTTTTACTTCCCATCCATTTTTTTTTTCATTGAAATGATTTAAAATAGTCTTTTTATCAAAACTGGTACAAAATATTTTGATCGGTAGTGTTTACGAAAGATTTGATAGAAAATTAGTTTCTAAAGATTTTATTCTAAAATTGAGATTTGTAATTCTAAGTTTTGACATATTTATTATCTCTTTGTTTCAATATTATTATATCATAATTTATATATTAGTTTCCAATAGAGTTAAAGATTTTATTCTAAAATTGCAATAGGTAATTTTGAGTTTTGACATATTTATTATCTCTTAAATTTAAAGATTTTATTCCAAAATTGCAATAGGTAATTCTAAGTTTTGACATATTTATTATCTCTTTATTATAATATTATTACATTACCATTTATATATTTTTTTTCTAATAATTTAGAGCCTTTCAATTTCATCCATGTCATTTATAAGTATATTTCAATGTAAGCAAAATATTTTTATTTTTGATAATTTATAATTTCTTTAAACTAATAGTTTTTATTGTTTTTTAATTTTATGATCTATATTTATATTTTTCTTATTTTTTAAGTTACTAATTATAAGTAGTCTTTAGTTGAACTATAATAGGATATTTTAATTTTTTCTTTGTAATTGATAAAATTTATTTTTGAGTGATTATAGATTAATTTGTGCTTGATTGTAAATTTTTAATATTTTTTATCCACAATTATATCAAATAATTATGAATGGTAAATACATCATTTAAAAAAAAAACTAATTTATTTAACAATCAACCTAACCCCAACCTATTTTTTTTGTTTGGTTGAGTTGCCAATCCAATCAACTTGAATTTTTGGATTGGTTCAAAAAAATTCATCAACCATCCTAACTTGGACCATATACACTTCTAATAGGAATACTTCATCAAATATTTATATTTTTTAAATTGAAGTTCGAGATCCATTCCATACTAAATTTTAATTTTAAAAATTTTCCTTAAAAAAACTGTTTAATTGTGTCTAAAAGAATTTAAAATTCAGAATCTATAAGTGTTCAATGATTTAATTTATAATTTAACCAATCTTTTGATTTTGAAGCATAAATAATCTCCCTATCAAGGCTACTACAAATCTTTCTCGTCTAGTTTGGGGGTATTTTTTTGGAAAACATGTCTTTTCTTCAAGTAAAACTAGGCACTACAAGGACTAGTTAACAAATTATCTTTCAGTGGTAAGATTTTCAAAACTACTTTTAAATGGACCAAAATTCTATATTCACCCTAATAAAAGTCATCCCAAACTCACTTCTATTGAATCGACACCACTAATTCCCTTCACTTTAGCATTAAACAGAGACAAGGAACAAGTTACCTTCCCAAAGAGAGGCCAATAACATCTTCCGTCGTGAGATTCTTTCAAAATCGCATCACACGATCCCTACAAAACAACTTCAGAGTTAGTCAAAAGATTTAAGGAAATGGGAACCAATTATTTCCTCCAGCGTCATGATCAACACAGTTGTGTTTCGAACTCGATGACCATGCTGAAGAGCTCCTGGCACAATAACTTGGCTCCATAGGGTACATTTACCCTCACAACGTCGTCGATTGACTCGCAAACCCGACAATATGGACCCCTTATCTTATGACCACTAGCTACCGATTGTTGAATCACACTAGCAGCATTCTTGCATTTCTGGCCAACATGCATCTGGGAAGAGTCACTAAGGCTGCTCACAAATTCAACATAAAAAATCAGCTGGATTTCTTCTTCTTCTTTTTCTTCTTGTTTTTTTTTTTTTTTTTTTTTTCCCTTTTTGGAGTTCAACTACTATTGAACCTCTAATCTCTTAATTAAAATATATGCCTCTGCTGGCTCATGAGTTGAATTTATAAATTGAAATTTTAAAACATTATACCAGTGGCTACACTTTGTTAAGAAGTNTTTTTTTTTTTTTTTTTTTTTTTTTTTTCCCTTTTTGGAGTTCAACTACTATTGAACCTCTAATCTCTTAATTAAAATATATGCCTCTGCTGGCTCATGAGTTGAATTTATAAATTGAAATTTTAAAACATTATACCAGTGGCTACACTTTGTTAAGAAGTCACTTTAGTCCTAGGCTTTATTTAATATTTAAAAGAAAATAATCTGCTTTGAAGTCAGAAAGTTGTTCCGGTAAGCATGTACTCAATCAACTAAAGCCAGAGTTTCTACGAAATAATTTAAAAATTAACAGTAATGACGACAATGGTAAACAGTTACCTGTGAAGCCGGTCTGTAATGGCATCAACAGAAGGAGTGGAGAAAGGAGTCGCAGATTTCAAACAACCACCAGAAGCAATCCCTTTCCCGAGAGCAGCTTCCAATAGCTGACCAGAAGTCTGTCGCGAAGGAAAAAAACATGAATTAATAACAATATCTGGAACTATCCCTGGATGGTGAAGGGGAAATTCTCTTCAGACGCCCAAGACAAGGAGACCGAACCTGGAAAAAGAGATAATGCTTCTAATTATACAAAGATAGAAAGCACCATTAATTAAGTTACACACTAGCTACGCAATATGTTCGAGGCCCATCTAAAATCAGATCTATGTACCTGTCTCAGGCATACGACAGCATAACTTTCTGAACCATACCTGTTGGATGATGGAAGTCCCACATCGACTAATTTAGGGTGTGATCATGGGTTTATAAGTGAGGAATACTAACTCCATTGGTATGAGGCCTTTTGGGGAAGCCCAAAGCAAAGCCATGAGAGCTTATGCTCAAAGTGGACAATATCATACCATTGTGGAGAGTCGTGTTCGTCTAACATGGTATCAGAGCCATGCCCTAAACTTAGTCGTGCCAATAGATGGGTAAATCCTCGAATCCTCAAATATCGAACAAAGAACTCTTAAAGAAAAAAGGAGCCAAGCCCCTCCTCAAAGGCAGTCAAAAATGACTAAGACTCCAAAGGAGTCGAGCCTCGATTAAGGGGAGGTGTTGGATGATGGAAGTCCCACATCGACTAATTTAGGGTGTGATCATGGGTTTATAAGTGAGGAATACTAACTCCATTGGTATGAGGCCTTTTGGGGAAGCCCAAAGCAAAGCCATGAGAGCTTATGCTCAAAGTGGACAATATCATACCATTGTGGAGAGTCGTGTTCGTCTAACAATACCCTTCACAGTGTGTTTCAGTTTGATACTGTGATCGGCTCCAGATTCCGCACATCCTCCAATGACAATGTTTCCACTCTGCAAATTTGCACCGATGTAAGGGAACCCATTGTCGTCTAATTTTTCTTTTTGAGTTTTTTCCAAAATTTATTACATCATCAGAGTTTCTCCTCTTCTCCGAAGATTCTTTATTATCTACCTCAGCCTTGTAACTCCGGATAGGCTCAGACCGAAACATGCCACGCTCCAAAGAGGCCCGGTTCATTACCAATGAATCTTCTTGGTTGCAACCCAGGTGAACATTGACTGCCACAATAGCATTCTGACCATTATAGAACTCGGGTTTTGGTAGTATACCCGTGTGAGATGACAGGTATCCAGGTGTCCCGAGACAATCGGCAGGCGTTGTACGAAAAAGTGGCTTTTGTGGATAGTGTAACTGGTGAGTTAAAGTATCCACACGAAAATGACATATCAAGTTCACAATGGGATCATCTTTGCCATAATCGACTAAATCTACTATTTCTTTGGCCGATGAAACACCAGGTGCCAAAGAATAAAATCCACACAGGTACTTTTGTGGACAAAAAATGTACATTGAGGACTTTCTCATTGCTTTTTAGTTCTTCAGGCTTGGAATTTTCAACTAGTCTAATAATTAGTTTGTTTCTCTTAACTTCTGATCTGTATGCCAGTCCAACCTTGAATATTAGAAACCAAGAGTCTTCTCAAACAAATTTGCTCTTGAACAATAAATATCTGAAATGAACATGAAAAGAAAGTGGTGAAAAAGGAACAAAAGTTAACCACTTGGATTAATATGCATGCAGAAAGAGAAATAAATATCTATTCAAAATTGAAATACAGAGAAAAGGATGGTATCAATTAATCATTTTTACAAAATATAGTTAGTAGTGAACTAAAATTTTGTAGAACTAAAATTTCTTGACTAAATTTTATGTCCCATCAGGAGGCAGATCACATGCCTGAACGTCGATCAAATAATTAAGCCTAATAGCTCTCTTTTCCAAGGCAACTATTTTCTAAGAAATACCATACTCATGATTTTCAAAATAAGCATGCTAATGTTGTGTTAAAACAATAATTAAATAAAACCAATACATAATTCAATACCATAAAGTTCAAAAAATATGAACACAACTCAATACTTTGCCACAGGCTTTTTATTTATATTTTTAGTGTATGCAAATTTAAAAAGGCAGCCAATTAACCATGAACCAGGATGATCTCTATTAGATAATGTGAACACCTGGATACATATTTATGTCAGCTTGTTCAAGGTAATAAAAAACTCTTCAAACAAACAATGCATTAAAAGTTTTGAAATGATTGTTTGGTGACAGTAGAATTTAAGAAAACAGTGAATTTATTTACAGATAATACATAACTATAAAGTATAAAGGGGCCAAATGAGGGAGGGAAGTGTACTCACTTTTTCTGCGCCTTTGATTAAAAAATAACCTCCATGATCAAATTCAGAGTCACGTTTCTGCTCATCCTTCATCCAGCAAAGGTCAGAATTCACCATCACAGGTAGCCTGCCTATAAAGACATCCCTGTTATCTTGATTTATAAGATCCTCGTCGACATATTGATCTTTTCCAGTTTTGTCGCTTGTAACTAACCTTCGAGTATATACCTAGTACATTACAAGTATCCAATAACTAATTAGGTATTTATTCAACAAACTCAGGGTCCACAGGTTATCAAACAAATATTAGCAATTTATTAGGTATGAAGGATAAGAAAAGACACGAAGACAGTAAAAATTACACAGTAAATTAAGCACCTCTACACTGATATTCTTTTTCATCCTTGATGAACAAGTCATATTCTGAAGTCGAGCATGCCTAGGAAGCATGTTATACTCACTGAAGCATACAATCAAAGGCCTTCTGAAGACCACTTTTTATGAAGTCATTGTACGAGTTGATTTGGTGACTGATAAGGCCGTCTGATTGAAAAATATCATTGCTGTCTTCTTACAAAAATCTTTTAGAAACGTTTCCCCCAGATCTGTATGTTGACTGGCTCAGAATAATAATGATCATCATCATCTGTATCCATACCTGTTTCAGGTGATAAGTCTTCCGCTTCACTATTCCACTCCATATCGTCCTTTGCGCCTGATGCTCCCATTAGTTTCTAGGTCTATAACAAATAAAGACATACTTAAGAAACAGATACAAATACTAAAGTTTCTCAAAAAGTAGTGTCACATAGCCTGCTGAATTTCTACGTAAAACAGGCAGACGGAATAGAGGCGTATCACAAAGAGCCTATCAAAAAGTAGTATCACAAAAAGCCTGATAAATTTTCTACGTAAAACAGGCAGACTAAACAGAAGCGTATCACAAAGCGACTATCAGACTAAACAGAAGCGTATCACAAAGCATCTATCAGACAGGCATACTTAAGTATTCCAAGTAAAACAGGCAGACTGAGCAGAAGCGTATCACAAAGCGTCTAGCGTATCACAAAGCGTCTATCAGACAGGCATACTTCAGTATTCCAAGTAAAACAGGCAGACTGACCAGAAGCGTCTATCAAACAATCTGCGGATTTACAAGGTTGCTCGTGGATAAAGGTTAATCAACATTTTTACATACGTACGGCCTGGTAAACAAGAATAGAGACAAAATCTGAAGTAAAAGCTAAGCCACTAACCAGTATCAGTCCACATACACGCTACACACACTGAACTCGCCAAAAGAAAAAAGTTCTCACGCTACGATGCTCGAAACACAGACTCAAAAGTCCACTATACCTAAACGTAAGCAGCAAATATCACTTCCTGCGATCACGCAAGCAACAGAATCAAATACCTTAGAGATTTAACCCTAGGCCAGCTCCGTTGGAAGAAATATCGGAATATAGCATCCACACAATGCCGTCGGCTCTTGCTCGAGCCAGACGCCAGTTTCAGAGAGGAGTCGATCTTTCTCTACTGCAGAAGCAATGAATCGCAAGGAAACGGAGTGAATTAGCATTGTCGACGAGACAATAGCGTAAAAGACGGATGGAGTAGAGAACTGAGGAAGGAGAGAGAGAGAGAGAGAGAACTTTGAATAATGACATTACGGAGAGGGGATATTTCGCGGGAGGGATAATGAAGGCGGGAGACTGGTGGTATGTCCGAATGGTAAATAGGAAGAAATGTGAGGGGGCTAATTGTAAATTCATTATTCCAAGGCAGTGCTTGGTTGTGATTGGGGGCTTCTCATATGGTATTATTATTATTATTATTATTAAATTATTATTATTATTATTATTAAATTATTATTATTATTATTATTAAATTATTATTATTATTATTATTAAATTATTATTATTATTATTATTAAATTATTATTATTATTATTAAATTATTATATTACTTATTATTATTTATTATTGTTGTTATTATTATCAAAATAGCAATTTAATCCTCTAGATTTTCTACCTTTTAAAAGAATAGTATCTGTTTTTAATTAGTATTTTATTGCCTTTCTATATCTAGTGACGTGAAAATTATTATTTTTATTTGACTAATTACAATTAAAAAATAATATAAACTAAAATCAAATAATACCAGACTCTTACATAAGCTTTTTGTTAGTGAAAATAATACCTCTCTAGTGAAAATATATTTTTTTAGTTGATTTTTTGTATAATTATTATAATTAAGTTAATTGTATATAAAAATAATACCAGACTCCTATATAAGCTTATTTAACAATTATTTTAATTTCTAAAATAACTTTTATTTAACTCTTTTATATCATGTTTAAAGTTATTTCGTACTAATTCTTTTATATATTAAAAAATTCATATCGAGCGTATATCTTAATTAGTTGAGTTGAACTTCACTAAAAATTTATGGGTTAAATCTCGGAATGGGCTTCCATTATTATTTTGATATGAAATGGCGACAAGATTACCGTTACAAATTTTTCAAAAATCCCGGTTGGTTTTGATCCTTGCAAATACATTCATTCGAGGCGACGTAGAAGGTACTCGACTTCAACTTCCTTCGTGAGGGGAATTACCCATTCGCTGTAAAGACGAGATGCAAGCGATGGATCAATCATATGCTTTCCTCCTTCGTTTGTGTTGTTGAGGGTGACTTCTTGCCCAAACACCATAGCCTTCTTCTCTACTCTCTTCTTCACCATCTCTTCCACTGCTACAAATGTTAATAGCTTCATCAAAGTATCTCTTTCCTGTAGAAAGAGTCAATGAACTTGGTTTTTACCAAACCCCTTCCTCCTCTTCTACTTCATATATTATAGGCTAATTCAATCATAATAAATTTACGATACCTTAGAACGAATAGGCGTTTCGTATTCTTTAGGAGCATCCCTAAATTTCACCTCAGCTACGTATTTTCCACAGTGAATCCTCCTCGAAAGCGCCTGAGACTTAGTTGAATTGTTATACGTGAAAGAAATTGTAAAAACCGAAGTCCACCGCTAGTAGATATTGTTCTCTTTGGATTTTCCCTTTTGGGATTCCTCTCAAGATTTTAAAACGCGTCTGCCAGGAAGAGGTTTCCGCACCTTTACAAAGAATGTTTCGTTCCCCTCTCCAACCAATGCGTGATCTCACAATCCACCTCATTCGAGGCCCAGTGTAAACCCCCCTTCGGGGCTCAGTGTCCTCGCTAACATACCACTTAATGTCTAACTCTGATACTATTTGTAACGGCTCAAGCCCACCACTAACAGATACTGTTCTTCTAGGCTTCAAGGTTTCCACACCATTACAAAGACTGTTTCGTTTTCCTCTCCGACCGATATGGGATCTCATAGAAATAATATTATGTTACCGTAGCTAACAAGGCATTTCTCGACATGGTTATACGTATTATCACGAAGAACCTAGAACAAGGTACAAGAAGTTTACAAAGTGTGTTTACCTGCAAACAAGCAAGATCACTAGCAGCAGTGGCTGCATAATTTCCATCGTCTCCATCGGCAACCAACAATGGTAAGAATTTGTCGAAGTAGAATTCCCATATGGCTTTGTTCATATTAATTGAAGCGCCTGAAGGATGCAAATCCTGGAAAAAACTTGGATTAGTTTGCGACAAATTGGCAACCAGAAAAGGCAACCTTCACAAATTCCAAAACAATCTGTCACCTTTGGATACTTGTGAGGGTTCAGCAATGGACGAGGCAAGCTCTCAGGGAAGAACGGATTTTCTTCAGGATTCTCATATCTACCAGCCTGTTGACAAAAATCCGAACAGATAATAAGAAAACATTCAAATTGAACGAGAATCTCAAATCCAGCTATTAAGAAGTAACAAACGAACCAATAAGAACCAGCCTGGACTACATCTGTTCTGTAATGAAAGTTCGAAAGTTCCTACAAATGGGATTTGATGTTTCTCATTTACAGCCATTTATGAACAATATGATTCACCATTCTAAACAATGGTCTAGCCTCCCATGCAACCAAGCCATTACAGTAATATACAGCATGTTCTGTATCTCATCGGTTAAGCTGATGAGTTAAGATAATGATATCGATATTCGAAGAAGTGACGCTACAAAGTGTTCGAAACAAGATTTCTTTTTGCTCTTGTATTGTAACGGCCCAAATCCACCGCTAGCAGATATTGTCCTCTTTGGGCTTTTCTTTTTGGACTTCCTCTCAAGGCTTTAAAACACTAGGGGAAGGTTTCCACACCCTTATAAATGGTGGTTTGTTCTCCTCCCCAATCAACGTGGGACATCACATGTATCATGTTAAATCATCAATCTACTCAAAAGCTTAAACGGATGGATTAGAGTAAATTTAATTATATCAATACTTTAATCTAAGAAGATCAACAAAGCTCATGGAGCGGTTATGCAACACTTGTTTTGTAACAGCCCAAGCTCAAGCCTATCGCAACAACATATTGTCGTTTTTTGGCTTTTCCTTTTAGGTTTTCCCTCCGTTTTTAAAACGCATCTGTTAGGAGAGGTTTCCACACCCTTGTACAGAATGTTTCGTTCTCCTCCCCAACCGATGTAGAATCTCACGTGCTTCCATTCACACAAACAAGTCGGCCAATCTCGCAACCTCCGCCCATGTTTGGAAGAAAATGATTCAAGAAAAAACAGGAATGAATAAAGAATTTTAAAAAGTATTGGAAAGCGTATTCAAAAGTAAGTTCTGTGGTTCCAAAAAGAGATGAACAACGGCTAAGAAAGCATATAACGTAAATGAACAAACACGGACTTACCTTGGCTTGAATGGCCTCAGTTTCTCTCACAATGAACTCGACCAAAGAACCAGAGAATCCAGGAATTGAAGCATTATTCTGAAGGTATATCTGCCGATTGAGAGGGAACCGAGCTCTCTCGATGAGACTATAAACAATAGAATTCTCCTGTCTGATCAAAGAGTCTCTTATTCCGTCAAGCGTCAATGTATCCGAAGCCGAATTTGGATTAGAGCTAACATCCGCCATGGCTTCTCTAGCCAACACCAAAAGAAACAGAATAAGAAACGACATGATCAAGAGAATATTGTCAGCCTCAACGATGAAATGAAGAAATCGCTGGGAGGTTATAAATCCAAAGAAACGAGCGGGAACTATGAATACAGCCAAAAATGGAAGTAGAAATTCACATCACCGTTAAAAAAATCCACGAACAAACAAGAAATAATGTCCATGCCTTCAAATAAATTGCGTTCACAAATCGCTTTGAAAGGAGAGAAAAATACGGCATTAAAAGTATAAATCGATTAAGAAAAACGGCTGACCTGCACGTTTCGATTCGGCTCTGAAGTTTGTTTGCTCTTCCAGTTAGAGGTTCGAGATCCGAGAAGAATTATGATAAATGTCAGCGCTCGAAAACTTGTGGCAATGGAAGGACGAGGACCGAACACAAGGAAACGTTCTGAGACGCTGAATTATTGACAAAGCGAAAGAAGAAATGGCTTCTAACCTACGAAAAATGAATTAATGAGAAAGAAGTCGATGGTGACGGTAGGCCGGACCTGCGGTGGAGAAGAATCGGCCGTAATTTCCGGCGACGGGATGATTCAGCGCGGCGTGATTGCCTGCTCTATGGGAGTGACGTGGCCCCACGCGGAGTTCCAAATTGGAAGAACCAGATTTTCTTTCCTTATCTTTCATTTTTTTCCCTACCATAATTATTGGTCCTCTTAAATATATCTTCTTTCGCAAACCGACATGTCGTAAAATTAACCCCTCCTGTTTTGGTAGCATGCCGACGAAAGAATAATGAAAGAAACTGCAACCGTTTTTTCTGGGCTATTTTTTTTTAACAACGATTAAACTTTAAACTTTTAAAAGAAAATGTTGGAACAGCGGTAAAAATAGGCTCGTTTAACAAGTAAAAAAAAATTACAAGGGTAAAAAGAACTTCTTGGTCTTCAAAGCTTGGTAAATAAGTGAATCAGCTAACTTCCATTTATCAGTTGACAGGTGAAAATTTCAGGAATAATCAAACAAACGCATTATAGAGCCGAACTGCATTCGCAAAAATTATTCACTTCGATTATCAAAGTAAGCATCCAAAAACCCAATCTCATAAAATAACACAACATAAAACACAGTAATGATGCACGAACCAACCATACATCCAGGGCCAGAAGGTGAGGTGGGGAAGAAGAGTTAACAGATACAAAGTCTCTGCTAATTAATTATACCATCATTTCAGGATTCAATCGAGGAATTTTGGCGACAAAAGCAGTTGACACGACGACGACTTAACTTGGTGTAAAAAGCAGCTAATTCTTTGGGCCGATATCCTTCAGGGCACAAATTTGTTCCTCTCCCATGGCAGACATCACCGACACGACAAGGTCCTTTCCTTCAGCAAAACCATCCTTAATCTGTGAATTTCAAACAACAGATTCAGTTTGTATTCATTAAGTCAGATCATCACAAAAACAGAACATAAAGATTAAACCCATATGGCCATATCTTCAAAAATCTCTTAAAGAACAGAATATTAAGCCTGCTAGATTAACTAACTTCAAATTTCAAGTCTACACAATATCGAATCTGATTGTGCCTTTACCTGAGAGAGCAGGTTGTCATCAGTTGGGAGCCTTAAGTCATCCTTGGTGTTGCCATTGTCAGTTAAAAGACTCACCTGCAGCAACAGAAAACCATCATTCGATTAATGAAACCAGCTTTACACGCTGCAGAATACATGAATGACCCATTGCTTCCTTCTATGGTTAATAATCAGCACACCCCCCCCCCCCCCC